AACTCGACTTACATACGGGAATCTGGCACAACAAATGAAGTGACTGGAGTGTCCGTACAAAAATGCACTACCGTACGAACCATGTGAACTTTCGTCCCGCGAGTGTCAAGTCACTTCCGCGCACGCGTGCGTGCAGTGCGATGTGTTGCTGTACTGTAGTGATAGCAGGGTTCTAGCCAGGTCAAAAATAGTAGGGGGGGGGGGGGGGGGGGGCATGGGAAACAGTTACCCTATATCCCATTTTTCCACTTTCCAATATTGTCTTGCCACGCCAAATGCAACGTATGGGGCGAATCACTGACTTCACCCCAGACAAATGTGCCTTTATGAACCATCTACGCATGAAAAACACGAAAATCGGAAAATGAGTAGGGGCGGCAATTTTTCACAGGGGGGCGCTGCGCCCCTCTACCCCCCTTTGGCTAGAACCTTGGATCAGTTGGCAGCACAGTGGCAGTTAACATTGAATGAACATTGGATGACACAGGTTTTGTTCAGATTTTTGTCTTACTGGCATGATATGATCTCTCCTCGCAGAGAATGGCACCTATGCATAAAACATGGCGGCCAGGTCGCCATCGCGACTTCGCACCTTTGTGCGGGGCAACTTTACTTGCTCGACGCGAGGCTCTCCTTTGTTTTCAGTCGTTGCAGTGGAAGACAGTTTCGATATTAGTTGACAGGAAGATGGCAGTCAGTCAGGATTTTTCCCAGCTCACCTTGAACCTTCTGAAGGTGAAGTGTGGAGAGTATGGTCTCAAGAAGTCGGGAAAGAAAGCCGATCTAGTTGCGAGGTGAGTTGTTTTCTTCCCACAACAAAATCTTATTTTTTGAAATTATTTGTGAATCTGAGTTTGTTATTTATCTGCTCGTGTCGTTTACAGACTTGCTCAGCATTTCTCTGAAGGCGACGGTGATGGCAAGGAAGGGCCACCTCCGCCAGCTGCAGCGCTTGCTGTTATTCCCCACGACCCTCTGGATTTTCCTGTTACTGGGTGGCAGCCGATTAAATCTGCGAGTGGAAGGCTACTCTCCCTGTCGTTCTCCATGCAAACTATGGTTTCTTATTTCGTGGACACTATGACCAGCGATGGACCTGCCAAGAATTTCAAAGCGCTTGCTGCCACTGATAGCAAGTCAATTCGTCTGTATCGAGCAGGTTATGTCCAGAAAATCGAACTGATGAAGGCCAACAGCCGTGTGTACTACCGTGCCCGCTGTCAGCCTGAAATGAAGACCAAAGCTGACTACAAACTTCGGCTCGTTGCTCAGTGTGACTCAGGATCTGCCACCAGTGTTGTTGGTGCTCAGTGCACTTGTCCTGCTGGCAAGGGTGTTACTGCCAGTTGCAAGCATATAGCTGCACTGATGTATGGCTTGTCCGAGTTCACTCTGCTTGGGTTTAGTGACGCTCCGACGTGCACGGACATGCTGCAAAAGTGGAACCAGCCTCCTGCAGGTGCAGGTAAAAAGAGTGAGCCCATGCTGGTTCAAGACATGGAGTGGCGTAGAGGTGGCAGTACCACTGACAAATCTGCGCCAAAGAAACGTAAGCATTCTGCTGCAGAAGTACTTGACCCTCGTGCTGTTGCAAAGCGGATGGACTTTGCCCGGCGTGTGGAGGAATACGCCAACTCAACCATTCACTCCAACTCCATCCACCTAGCATTGCCTCTTGTTGCTGGTAGCTCAGGATTTGCTGCTAAGCAGAAGGAGGACAGGTTGCACAGAGCCCAAGCGCAGAAAAAGGAGAGACTGGCTAGGGCAGGGGAACAGAAGGACAAGTGGCAGGTTGAGCACAGCAGATCAGGTGATGTGACACCTGTGCCATCTGACTGCGAGTGGCTAACTGAGGACAAGCAGATGCTGTGGTACGAGTCCAATGTCATTCTTACTTGTGAAGAAGCCAATGCCCTGCAAGAAGCCACTGCATCCCAAACAACAAGTGAACTCTGGAGGAATGAACGAAAGAAGCGTATTACAGCTTCCATTGCCCATACTGTAGCTCATCGACGACCTCAGACTGACCCGTCATCCCTCATAAAAACTATCATTGATCGGCCGGCGTTCACCACTCCTGCAACCAGATGGGGGATTGATCATGAAGAAGAGGCACGATGTGCCTACGTAGCCCACCAAGCCAAGTCTGGCAAGCTGATAGATGTTGTTGCATGTGGCTTATTTGTGCATGCTGATGAATGCTGGTTTGGTGCCAGTCCCGATGGCATTGTTAGGGATGGTGATACATCACTTTTGCTCGAGATTAAATGCCCGTTTGTTGCTAGAGACCAAAGTCTAGCAGAGGTAGCTGGGTCTACTGCATCATTTTGTTTGTCCAACAAGGATGGTGTGCTTTCTCTCAAAACAACACATGCCTACTATACACAAGTGCAAATGCAGCTCTTTGCTGCAGGCCTTCAATTTTGTGACTTTGTAGTGTGGTCTCCCTGCAATGATCTTTTTGTTGAGCGCATTTCATTTTGTGAAGTGCATGTCAAGAAAACTCTCGCAGCTTGCCGAACATTTTATTTTGATCATGTTCTCCCGAAACTGGCTCTGTGATCAAGTTTCTTGGTAATAGATATATTCCTCGTCATCTGAGATGACCATTGCTCACTTTGCTCCAGTTCCTGTAGTCTTGACTGTTTACATTCTTCCCTGATTTGTGGCAATCTTTTCTTCTGTAAGTGTGTCTGAACTGTTCTATACGCTGCACTCTATGTTCTTTATTATAGCTTTTTCTGTTCTGCCCTGTTCTGTAGCTCCTTCTTGATATAAACGCCGTGATTAGATGGTGGATAGTTCCATCAGCTACCGGCTTCCTGCATTTGTACATGATTAGGTAGTGTTGTATACATGTACCCAAGACGGTGGAACTCTGCTGTAAACAGTGCGTTATAGTAAATTATACTGCCATTACTGGTAACCACTACAAAAAACGGCACGTACAACTGGTTTACAATAGCTCGCCATTCCGTGTTACAACGGAGTTCAAAAAGGCATGAACGTTACATGAGTATTCGTATTTACTTCAAAGTAAGCGGCACTTGCAGCAGTCACAGGCCACATTTCCTACCTGGTGAACAGCACAAACAGACAAATAGGAGCATCACTACTTCTACTTCGAAGTACGAAGTCCTGAGTGAAATAAGCATCATTGTGTAGGGGCACCATTACTCACAACATAACACAAAGAAAAGAGGGGAAGAAAATACCGAGGCCACGTAGGAATATCGGCATGCGCAAAAAGCTTTCAACAGAGCGGCCTGGTCATAAAGCAAGAATTACATAGACGCCCGTCTTCATCATCATTCTGACACATATGGTGGTAGCGTGAGTTACAAGACCTACAAACTCTAAGAAGTGGGCCATCTGAGCGCTTGCAAAACAAACATACGGGAGTGGTCACATAGGCAGCAGCGGCTACAGAAGAAGATGGCACGCTGATAGCAGCAGCAGTAGCAGCTACAGGAGATGGCACGTTCGTAGCAGCAGAAGTAGCAGCTACAGCAGATGACAACTTGGTAGCAGCGGAAGCAGCAGCAGAAGCAGTAATGGCAGGTGAAAGAAATGTGCCAGCTGAAACAGCCACTGCAGAAATGTTTGCATCTGGTGATATCTGGGCAACTTCTGCAGCAGAGGAAAAGTGTGCAGACTGTGTCGATGGCTTACTAACAGGCGGAGGTACCAGGGGCTCCATGTAGTTTGTGAGGAATGCACACACAAATATGATCTGCTCAGCCAAAGGGCACAACACGGAAGATAAGAAGTGAGTTATCCTGAAGTTCTTGATCCTTTCCATTGCTCTCTCCACATGAATACGCACGCTAGCAATACGCCGAGTTTCGATCACCTCTTCTTCATCAAGCTGATCTCGAGAACCAAGAAACGGGGGTATGTTGGGATCGACACCCTCCGGTAGCAGATCGGCAATGTCGAAACCACGGTCGGCCATGATGGCATCACCCTTCTCCATCAACTTCATTAGCCCACTTCGCTTTGTCAGTTTCTTATCAGAAATGCGCCCGCCATAAAGAGGAGACAGAAACGATATTGCACCGGTAGGTGTCACACCAACTAACAGTTTGAAAGTGTTCCTGTTTTTGTAATTCGACCAGGTGGCTGCTTGTACAGTTGGGTTGGCTGGCTTCTCAATGGGAAACTCTGTTGCGTCAATAATTACCCGGGTGCGTGGGTACTT